GTTTAATGAAGTCTGCTTGGTGTTTAAGATTGCAAAGGCATACAAGCTAAAGCGACTACTAACATACGGCTTTAAACGCACCGATTCGTCGTTTGCTAATTTGCAATATAGTTCACTGTCTGAAACATGGAAACATATACCCATATTAACACAAATATCTAGCTGAAAAGTCCTGGTATCAAAAACAGAAAATGCAATTATATAGAGGTCTGCATAATAAGGAGCAATATACTTCCATCCCTTTATAAGCGAAAAAATTAGAGCCAAAAATTTATCAAAGCAAAATATCTATAAAGACATATTATCAACATAGACCTTTCACGAAATATCTCATTCTTATTGTAGTATCTTATTTAATGGTTTTTTTCGACAATGCACGATAAAGATTTTAAATAGGAAGGATCCTAGGCCTATAAGGAAGTGGAACAATCTTACAAGCATTAGGTTATTAAATAGACAAATATGGACGAAAAGTGAATATATTACAAATGCGAAAGGAGTATGATTTTTCAGTCGAACATTTGTCTGAATTTTAGGATTATCAAAACATTAATAGGACTCGAACCTGCAGCAAGTGTTTGCGAACTTGCATCTTGCCGGTTGGATGAGAGGAAACGCCTGAAGCTTGCTGTTGCTGTCCCAGGATTCCAGGGCTCCCAGGAAGACCACCCGAACCAGACACGGCCTGTGCGATTAAGTGATTTGTAGTTGATAGACTAATAGTATCAGTGCCAGTGCCGGAGCTGCCAGTAGATGACCGAGGCAGAAATGCGCTTGTCTGGCCAGGCGCGCTGTCTGGACCCCCTGTTGATGAACCAGAAATTCCAAGAGTTCCACCTGCTTGTCCATAGAACATGGCTAGGAGCTCAGCTTGTCCGTTGTTCACTTGCAAAATAATCTTACGGCCATTATGCCTCTCTAGGTAGAAACTGAGAACAAAAAATAAAACAAAGAAATTAAATTCAGCAAACGCTATTAACGAATAAAAATAACCAAATTAAGAAATGTGAAAATCTTACCAAAATAAAAGCAGAGCTTAAAACGGCTTGCACAATGCAAGCTTTGTGAACACAAAATTAAGCATTTAAAAGATAGCTTTATATAAAAAGTGCAGAATGTAGGCTAATCTAATGTTTTTAAACAGGGAAAAGGCAGAAAAATAGGGATAATAGTAAAGCAATGAGTGTACATACCAAATAGTCCCAAAAGAATGCCGAGTGCACTAGTAAGATAAGTAACATAAATGTAGATGAAACAGACTATGATAAAAAGCAAAAATGTTCCTTATTATCAAAACGGCTAATACGAGCTTTTAAGAAAGGCATAAAAAGGTATTTTAAAAGTACATTTTTACAGTATTGTGCGTTATTCAGATAACTTACGCTTTGTAT